CCCCAAAACCCCAAAACCCCAAAACCCCGACATTTAAAACATAATTAATGAGTATTTTCAATAAATTCATGAATATTTCTAAAATCAAAAGCGTAATATATTTAAGTTTGATAATTGATGATTTTAAATTTCCTCAGTTTTTAACCTTAGGCTTTGCAGGCTTTTTCTAATTTTTCTTGATATTTTCTTTTTTTTAGTTTTTCTCATGACTTTTTTTATTAAAAATCTCTACATTTTCAAAATCAATATGATTAGCACTATTGTTTGTAACTCCTTAATCATGGCTATAATCCATACTATTAGCCTTTATTTTATCTTTTCTTCCTTTATTAATTCTTGTGAAGCTTCTGTCATTATTTGGGGTATCATCATTGTCTATTTTAGGGCCATCATCTCCATAATATTGCTCAAGAATATCAATTTAATCTTTGTCATCTTTTTCTTTATTAATTTTAGCCTTTAATTTCTTCTTGATGTCTTCTGGACTTAAAATCTCCTCCTATGTTTGATTCGAATCAAGAATTTTGTTGCTTGTTTTTTAAGAATGAAAAAGTAACTTATTGGTTTATGTCTCAAAAGGATTACTGGAGTTATTTAATAAATCCTAATTTCTGAACTTATATGAGGGTACAAGATGAAATGGATTTGGTAACTTCAAGTCAATTGCTTTTTTCCAAATTCTTAAGGTCATTATGCTATCATACAAAGTGAAAATAAAGAAACAAAATCCAGCTACTAGCATTAAGATCATGAAGGTGTAATCTAAATTTTATAAGGGAAGAGGAGGAATTACCTTTATATGATAGATCAGTTCTTTATACATCCTATTGAGTGTACTATATCGATAAACCACATATAGCAATAAACACAACTTCCGATACTAATACAAATATAGTGTTTTATTTCAATCTAAATGGTCTTGAGAGCCCATAATATACAATCATCTAAAAATATTACTAAATTAGATAAATTTACTAGAGTGGAGATTATTATACACGCAATAAAGCTGAAGCCATTACTAGACTAGAGTGAATATACAGTAATCACTAATTTAGCCAAAAGCAAAGGACAAAATATTTGTTAAAACATTGATTATTACTTTAATGCTGTAAATAAAGCATTAAATCTTAGCTGAATGACTGGATGATCACTTATTTAAGAGTGTCTTAAGATTAAAACTAATGTATTCATGACTGATACAGCAATTATAGCTATAATTAAACAAGCCAAACTATATGAAGCATATTCATACTCAGAATCAGTAGCACCAATCTAAATCTCAGCTATTGCCGGCATCATAAATGCTTGCAACTGCATAAAGAATATGATCATAGTACCTGAAAAGAAAAATTTATCAGGCCAAACATTGAAAACTTCTGAATCATCTCCAAATATTCTTTTCAGGATAACAGATAAAGGTAAAATCACAAAGAAATAGATAAGCCAAAACATAATCTTCCTAAATATGTTGAATGATATTGCATTGTAATAAATTCCAATTGCTTCAAGTTCGTTTGTAAATATGCCTCTTAAAGGGATGTAGGTATCAATTATGTAATCTTTAATTAGCACTGGAATGAATTTGAACTCAAAGAGTACGAAATCAAAGTACATCAAGAAAGAGTAGATACTCCCAGAGAAGTTAGAATCATTTACTATCTGCAGTAAATAAATACTCTGTATTGTGATGAAAGCATAAAATGCTGGTATCATAGATTTATTTCTAAATGGAAGTTAAAGTATTTATTGGCTTACGTTATCAAATAGCAAAGCAGATTTATTAGTATTCCTGCAACAAATAAAGAACTGCTTGCTAATCCTAATTCTTTAGTTAATTGATTTGAATAGTCCAATTCATACTGCACATTAATTTATTGATTATTTATGTAAATAACTTGGGTTTAATTACCAATGACATCCTAATTATTTTCATCTCTTAGTTTACCAGTCCCTAAATAGGTTATTGAAATCTTCATATTTTGTGTGTATTTTAAGTTCTTTGCTATCAAATTAAATTCTTTTTCATCTAATTTAAGGAAAAGCAATTTCGATGGCATTAGTTCATAAGATTAATAAGGCAAAGTCCAATCAACAAGGGTACTATTGCCATATTATATTGAACCCGATTTGTAGTCTAAAAGTCTAACTTAAATATCTCTCTAGTCTAGCTCTCCTAAGATCATTACATCTTTTGAAAATTCAATTATAAGATTATTGGATCCAGTAACTATCACATTATCAATTTAAGTTTAAATTGCATAGCAAATATCTTTTTATTTTGTGTTTCCTCCAGAACAAATGAACCCTTACTCAATTTTACAAGCTGATGAACAACCATCCCCATTTTATGAGTTACCATCATCACATTCATTTAAACCGAAGTTTTTGCTATCACCACATTTTTCAACGCAATCCCCATTTGTTCCATAATACATCCCATCTGAATCACAAGTGAGGCATAGAAATTCATAAGTTGATCTTTACCATAAATATTTTCCTCTCTCACAACTAAGACAATCTGTTGAATACCAATTAGAGCAAGTTTTGCAAGAGGAATCGCAAGGCCTGCAATACTGAAATATTTCATCATAATATTGATTGGATAAACAGCCTTTAATGAAATCAGGAGCTTGAACTTCTTCTGATTTGTAGACACATATTCCATATTGATCATGTCCAACATAACCATCTGGGCATACTTTAACGCATTGATTATTGTAGATCTTGTATGAGCCCTTCGAACAAACAATGCATTAATTAGTAGAGTTGTCACACAAAGCGCAGTTCTCATTGCATTTAGAGCATTCTTTTTTTGTTTCATTTGTAAAAAATCCTGGTGAACATTAACATAGACCTGATGAATTTTTGAATGCATAATTGAACTCATTACACTCACTACAAGTCAAGAGTGAATTATCAGCACAGTACTTGCATCTGAAATCGCATTAGCTGCATTATTAATCAAATGTGTTTAAGCTGCAGTTAGAAAAACATTCGTTGATAGAGTTCTGTGTGGGGTATTATATTGATGAACAAAATCCACATGTACTTGTAGATCCTATACCCGAGCATTTGTTCGTTAAATTAAATTGATTTTTCAAGAAACCCTGGTAGTAATCCTTATTAGAAGTTACATGCGCAGAACTGATGCTCTCCTCATTTTCACAATCCCAATCAATTTTAGTTGTTATCTAAAGGCTTCTCATTATCCCAGCAAAATCCTTTCCAGCATAGACTGAATATGCAGTATTATCCGTATAAGATCCATCAAAGTTTTAAATGTCTGCTCCGACTTAATCATCAATCCAGAGAAGCATTTATGTGTTGCCCGTCATTTCAGATTTCCTAAAGCAGGCTTAAATGAAGTGCCACTTATTATCATTAAAGTTATAAGCTCTATCGTAGTTATTTGTTTCAAAGATGATTCTCATAAAACCATTGGAAACTCCAATAGCAAGTTTATATATCTATACCCATTATTATAAAGCTAATGCATATTTTTACTTTATTAGTACTATCATATTTAGCAAAGAGATATCCGATATAGTTATTATTAAAGCTAAAATCCATTGAGTTTATTTTGAACCATGACTCAATGCAAAATATTTGGCTGCTAGGAATTTAGAACGATGATGTATCTAAAGATGGTCTCTCTGCATGCTTACCTCTTGAAAACAAAATACCTTGATAGGGAATCCTATAAATGAACTAGTTATTTCTGGCTCATATAATTTATTGAATACTTACACTATTGGATTATTCATTAGCTAAAGTTAGTTTTGATTGCCACTTGAATCACTTAGATATTTATCAGAAACACCAGCTGCAAAATCAATCTTTGCCAGGAATGATTCTAAAAGTTTATCATGACAATTTCTGTCAATGTTTGAACAAAAACCACACAATCCATTGCACTCATCTAAAAGGAAATAAGTAATGTTTGTGATTATTACTTGACCAATCTTATTGTAGAATCTCTAGCCCCACTCCTTAATCAAATATTTTGATTGAATGAAAGAAACCGTGCATAAATCCTGAATACAGTAATGGATCACCAACTGCAGTTGGAAATTATCTGCATCCTAGAAGTATATTTGAATCAGTGGCTGTCACATCTGTCCCTGAAGATACCTAAATGATTTTAATATCGATTGATTAATGAATACAGTTCTTGACCAAGTTGTAGTAAAAGATTAAATTTTAGCTTTGAAGCCCATATTCTTAATCTCGACTGAATCAAAGTCATCATGGCCAGCATGGAATGAAAGAGTATTATAATATTCAGTTACTCCGAAATTATTGATCACTTGATAATCTAAAGAAAGTGCAAAGTAGTTCCAGCCGCTGTAGGTATATATTCCAGTGTAAAATGTTTTCAACGTACTTTGGAAGTAAGATACAACATATTGACCCGCTCCATCTACTCTAATTGAGAATATTTCTGAAAATGGTAATGAAGAGTACTTTAGCATGGGTTAATTTCAGTATCAATAATTCTTACCTATCTTGATATAACATGAAAATCACCTGATTGGCAAGTGTAGAACCATCCTGAGAGAGTGAATTCAGATCCAGATAGATAGTTATTAGCATCAAACATTGGAACCGTACTCATTAGTACTTTGGCAATATTTTGATATAGATACATGCCTTTTTCAGTTCTTAGGTAATTATTGAAGTCTAAAGGATTTAGTTTTATTTCTAAATTAAATACTAGCATGCGAATATTTTGTTGATAATGTTTCCTAGTTGTCTGAAAATGTTAATACTATATTGTTTATAGCTTGAGTATTGACACTAGCCATCATTACTGCTGCCAATAAAACTTGAATTATGTAACAAGTTTTCATTAAATTATTGTATAAATCTTTATAAAATCTATTTATAAATTCCTCAAAATATTTCCTATTGTTTTTATTATGGGGTTTTGGGGTTTTGGGGTTTTGGGG